AAACGGGCCACACTGCAGAAGTGTTGGTCTATTGGTCTATTTATCCTCAGTCCCTGAATGCTATATTCTGTTTTTGTAGTTCAGTGGTTCTCAACCTTTTTAATGCCACGACCCCAACAGGTCGTAAGTCGAGGACTACCCAATCGGTCGTAAGTCGAGGACTTTCCCTGCCTGGGAGCGCTGCGCATGCGTGGTTCCGCCCCCTACGCCGGCTGAGGCGTAGCTGGCAAGCGGCAGAGACGGAGCAGGCCGACCACCAGCTGGCCCAGCCCAAGGGAGGTAAGGCACCCGCCGGAAAAGGGGAAAAAATGGCGGACAAAAAAATGGCGGACAAAAAAAATGGCGGACAACCTTGCTTGGCGACCCCCGTAAAATGGTCGATCGACCCCAAATGGGGTCCCGACCCACAGGTTGAGAACCACTGTTGTAGTTAATGAAAAACCAGGCAGAAAGCAGACTAGAGATGGTGAGAGAGTGTGGTACTGTGTGCATATCCCTCTGTGTCAAGGTTTATAACCAAGATAGGATTACCTTTCATCTGCGAGTTTTAAATGACTATACTAGTAATACAGCCTTCCAAGATTGCTGCTTTGCACCCCTGTGATTAAAAAAAAAACATCTTTCTACTCTGGAAATGGCAGCTGCAGTCTATTGGCAAAATTATCTCCAATCAAAACTGACAGCAGCAAAGCAGGCCAGCTCCACAAGAGCTGTTTGTCATTTTCCCTTTGGCTCTCTCTGAGTTTGACAAGTGACAAGGCACCTATAACATAGCAACAAATGCTCCGGTTTATTCATCCAACCTAAACAAATGTAGACAGCATTTCGCTTTTGCTAATGCAAAAAAATGCAGCATTATTCCTTTCTCATTAGTCCATCTACTAATCAGACTATAACAATGGTCTATTGTAGATATTTCTTTCTCTTCTTCTCTTCCCCTCCCCTCTCCCAGCAAAGAGGACTAACTTCTTACAGCCATCATTTTACTGGTAGAGCCTTGGGAAGGGGAATAGGTTTAGCAAAGTCTAAAACTAGCAAATACCACCACCACTGCTACCTTTAGAAAGCAATGAGTGTAAAGCTATCATCTATTCGTCTTTTCAATACTGAACCATACCCCCAGAGGGATATTAACACCAAATCATTTTTTAAAGCCATAAATACACGAGCCTGATTTGTCTGAACAATTTCCTACCATTAATAACAGAAGAAAAATATTTTTGAAGATTATGAGAACAAGGGGAAAAAATTAAAATGCTAGTTATTTTGACCAACCATGCAAAACAACGAGTACTTGACAGTTATGTTCAACATTTACAAATCACTTGATATTATACCAATGGTTGATCCACAGCTCTGCTAGAAGAAAGGTAGGAATTATAGAAAGAAGATCACTGGAGAAAGTTTTATTTCACTAGAATCAACTGTATTATATATGCCACTATAAAGTGTTTATCAGAAAAAATTGAATGCCAAGGAATATTGCCATTAAAAAAATAATTCTTGTTGAAATTACTTTGTTCCACACTTTGAGAAATCCAAATATTATGATCCCATCATGAAACACTTGTAGAAAAGTTTCTTGTGCTTATTTATAATAGACAATCTAGATGGTTGTTACTAAAGATAAAAACCTTATAATAACTGAGGGATATTTTAAATTTTTGTAGACGTTTTAAATAGGATTTTAAAACTATTTTCTAATGTTAAACAGTTACATCTAGTTGAAAAAAACAAACAGGCATTTTATAAGCCAACTACTCAATATTCATTTATACACAAGCAAATTCAACCTAACTGATTATTTATGTGGAATGAATATTTGTGTCTGTATGAGTCCCTTACCACTTAATGCACATTTTTATTTCTATTACATTTTGGGGTAGAAAACATAAATCATCTGGACAGTCTGGTTAATTCACAATGTCACTCTCAATTAAAATGGTTACTGCTTTTCCTTTAGGAAAGTTATATTTAAGAGTACACCTCATAATTACATATATTGTATTTTACAATTAACAGATGGCTAATATATAGCTTTTTGCCACATTATCACTAAAGTAACTATCTATGTTCTCAAAAATAATATGCTATTATGTAATTGGAATTTATAAATTTATAATGTTACACATTCACATTAGTGAAGTAAAAAAGTAGAAGAAGAGCAGTATCTCAATTTAACAGGAGAAAATACCACATAGATTCTATTCTATACTGCAGGCATAATAAAATCTACTGCATTTAATTCACTGCAATCCAAATAAAAAACTTTGAGGGAGACTTTAAAATCAGGAGAAATGGGTTTAAGGAGAAAACAATCCTCTCACAATCAAACCTCTTGGTTGGTAGCTCTGCATTTAAATTTTTTTAAAAAGGCACATCATGGTCACTCATGACTTGGTTTCTGGTGAACCCAAAATTATTTAAGGAACAATTCAGACATTCTCTATAGGATGCAAAGTATTAATCTGAAGAACACAATTCTTGAGGAAATCTCCAAAGTGAATATACTAATGCAGGTTAAATTCCTCCTGAGTAATATATTAAAAGTCCTTGGCCACCAGTGAGTTAATTAATAAGATGGGGAGTCAAAGCACATGGATGTTGGCATAAGGCAGAGAACCCACAAAAGGTGCAGAGCTTGGGAAAGAAATAATCCATAAAAGTGAACCCAAAAGCTACATATTCTTATGCAAAACCAGACTTCCTGTTCCCATCCCACTTTCTACCCTTTTGATAAAAAGGGCTGAAAGAATGTCTAGCTCAACAATAGAAAGGTGCAAATACCACATAAACAGTCACTCATTTCTGTACCCTTAGCCAAAGTACTAAATGCCCACTGGGGCCATTTCCCATTGCCAGAAACACAAGGTCAATATGAGTCTTCTGAAAGGCTTGTTCTGAGCATTCATCAAGGGTTTCTAAAGCTGTGAAAAGAGGGCCTTTTTTTAAAGGGGAGGGGAAAAAAAAACCCTGTTCTTTCAATATCTTAAGAAGCACATCAATAACACAATTGCAGCAGACAGAATAATGAAAACTGGCCTTGCTTTCTTCCAGATACAAATTCAATTTTCAGCATTATCCACATACACACAAAACAAGAGCAAGTGGAGGTGGGAAGAGGGAAAGAAAGAAAGAAAGAAAGAAAGAAAGAAAGAAAGAAAGAAAGAAAGAAAGAAAGAAAGAAAGAAAGAAAGAAAGAAAGAAAGATGGTTGGCAATCTCTAGGCTAAGTGCATCTATACCAGGGCTTCCTAACCAGGGGTGCGAGACGATATTCCAGGGGGTGCAAAAAATTTGAGTTTTCAAAATTATAGTGTATATGCATAATTCATTGCCATTATTTCAAACTTTTGTAAGGGGTGCGAGAATATATCAGAAGTGTTTTAGGGGTGCGGGGTATAGAAAAGGTTGGGAACCACTGATCTATATGATTCATTGTTATTAAATGTTTCATGGCTGGATTCCACAGCATAATAATGTTAAACAAGCAAAATTTTACTAACAATTTACTTAAAATTTATTTTATATAATCAAAATGGACTTCAATAAAGGTACATCTTTTATTTTAGTAATGATATGTTTTCTGTCACCATTTTCCATCTCTTTTCAGAAAACAAAATAACATATTTGAAATGGATTTTATTTTTTAAAAAAATCATAGTATCATCTAATACAAAGGTCTTCTTTCAGAATTGCAGTCCAGACAATACACACACACATACATACATACACACAGAGATATAGAGATAGACAGACAGACAGACATTGCAGTCCAGATATGATGAACATATAACTTTCACCTCAGACTATTTTCGGCAGAGGTGATTCATAATGTTATCCCAGCCATAATTTGTTATGTATACCAGAATCAGTTTTGGAGATTTGGAGCAAAATAATCATGATTTGTATGGTGACTTCCCAAAGTCATGGTTGTACCTTGATATGTACCTTGGTTCAGAAATGACATGGTTATAACAAATCAAGATTTATAAAAGAGCCGTGGTGGCGCAGTGGTTAGAATGAAGTATTGCAGGTTGACTCTGCCCACTGCCAGGAGTTCAATCCTGACCGGCTCAAGGTTGACTCAGTCTTTCATCCTTCTGAGGTCAGTAAAAATGAGGACTGAAATTGTTGGGGGCAATATGCTGCCTCTGTAAACCGCTTAGAGAGGGATGTAAAGCACCGTGAAGTGGTATATAAGTCTGAGCGCTATTGTATTAAGCCAAATTATCATGGTTTCAAATTGTGGTTGTTGCAAACAAAAAAACATTACCTTCTGGGAGCAGTTTCACATATCATGATAAATCTTAACTAAATTGTAATAACTTTCTATTATGGGCAAACTCTTTACTTCTCTGAGATAAACTTGGACTGACCTCTCAGGCCAAGCTAAACAAATGCACACATATAAGTTCACATGCATGTAATTGCATGAAAGAATGTAGAGACAGAATAAATGCACAGAAGATTATAAGCTCAGTTTTGCATGCATCCCTGGTCAAGAAGGGAGCCGGAGCCATTAAAGTGTATGCTGCTAATTCTCCTTCCCCCAAACATTTTCAAATATAGTCGCATGATACACAATGCGTGCCCAGTAAACTTGTTCAAAACCAAGTCTGAGACGTCTTTTTGTGGAGCATTCGCTTGTAAAATTCTCTAAATCTTGGATTTCTCCCATAAAATATGCAATAAAAAGGCTGAGTCAGGAGAAGAAAAAAGCAGAGAAAACTCACCACAAGTGGTCCTCATTTAGCAATGTTTATTTATTTTATTTATCTATAACATTTACTGGCCGCCCATCTTACCTCAGGGTAACTCAGACTTGTATTTTTGAAATGTAAAAATAATTTTGTGATCAATTCTCACCTTTACCATTTTTGTGGATTTGTGAAACAAAGCTGAAAGCTGAAGTAAGATCATAAAGGCAGCTAATGACTTGAGTTGTAGGTCCCAATAGGGTTGTTAAACCAAGTAGTGGTAAGATAAAGACTTCCTTACCTGCTTTGCAGGTTTTTCCATCTTCTTGTAGTTGGACTCCAGTAGGACAGGTACAACTATAAAAGGGCTCTTTTGGGGACAACAGGCACAAGTGTGAACATCCACCATTACTTTCCTCACACGGCGTGTGAACTTGAAAAATAAGAGAAGAAAGAAAACCAGGCACATTTTTTATTTTCTGGTAACACAGAAAGGAAGCCTAGATCTGTAAAGGGGACAATCATACTTTATATTTCCTCATAAATTCAGTCAGGCAGTAAAAATAATTAACTACAAGACAGGCATTTAAAGTTGCTCGATAAGACTTTAGAGGAGTATCAATAAACGTAAAAATGTCCTGAAAAAAAGTACCTTTTCACACTACAGTATCTCAAACTGCTCCAATGCGGTTGGGGTTTCAATAGGGTTTTAACAGTTTGGGAAATATAAAAAAAAATGTTAAGGGACAACTGGATGCCATGTGTTTGTTTCTATTTGGACTGTTGTTATAATTACAGTGCAGGTTGAACCTGAACAATTGTTATTTGTTTCATCAAGAGTTCACACTTTTCTGTATATCTCACTCTGCAACAATAGTAACAACTTCCTCGTATTTTCTCCATTCAGCTGTGTCCCAGTCAATTATGTTGGCCATACATAGCTTAAGTACTTTTATTTATTATTTAAATTTATTATAGCTAGTGGACTTTGGAAGGCATACAAAATCCACTTGTCTGTCTCACAATCAAACCTAAAAATTTAAGGTCTGGGGTTTTGTTTTGTTTTGTTCTTCCCCGTCCAAATATGTAATCTGCTTTGATTATGGCATCAAAAGGAAAGCATGACAATTTAAAGTGGGGATAGTGTAATCATTCAAAAGCACCAGTGTTAAGACTGAAGCCCTGTATATGATCCACAATCAGTTAATATGGTACAAACACTTGGGAGCTATGGCATCCAAATCCAGTCGAGTCAAGAGACAGCATTATCTGAACTATTTCTAGCAGATAGTATTTCCCAGTATACCAGGCTTTCCTTACTACTGTCCAGAAATATTGTGACCCAGGGGTGGGACGTGCTCTCAGCTGAGAGAAATGTTAGGAATTCCGAGAGCACCACATAGCCTCATCTGGAACGCAAGGACAAACTCTATCAGTGCACATGGCCAATGACTTCTACTGAAGCATTGCACCTGTTTCTCAGCTAAAGCAGCTCTTAAATTCCTCTCTTTACTCCATGAACGTTTACCATCCACCTATCCTTTTTCTTAGTATAGCCACAGCTCTTCCGAGCAAGGCCAAACTTTCTCCGAGGTTTTCAATAGTAGACCTAGGGCTCAATGCTCTCTTAAACAGGATAGTACTCAACTTTAGGATAAATCTATGTTTTGTCTTATGTTACGTTATGTTATGTTCCTAATATCTAGTGTGCACAAGACAAGGTTTCTTTGGAAATCCTGTGGCTAAAGAATTCAATCAGAGCATACTATCTGTTTTTCAATTTTTTCCCCCACAAATTTTTCCTGTTGGTTAAAAGCTTCATCCATGAGAAATAATGAGGTATTTTCCCCTCTGCCTCCAAGTCACTCACACAAGAAAGTTATTTTTCTTACTGCAAATTATCGTTAACATTTTTGTTAATAGTATTACAAAATACATACTATTAGCAAGATACTATTGAAAAATAAGTCCTTAAAATCACTGATTTAAAGTATTTAATATATGTATATGATGTGCCTGAGAAATTCTGAATTTTAACATTTCTAAATGTTTTAATAAGTAGGCAAAAAGGCATCTCAGCAAAGAATTTGCATTACTATGGCCTGCTTTGTAATCGAATTTGCATTACGCTATGAATGATATGCACAACCAGTTAATAATGATCTCATTTAAGTCTTGGAAAGTGTTCAACTATTCAGTCTGATGCATTGTTCAGAGATCTGTGGCATCCAAGTGGGAATTAGCTATTATATTTAATGAGAGTCACTTATGGACTCCACAGAGTTTGAATTCCAAGTCTCCTTCATTGGCACTTTTATTTGGTTATTATGTTCTAGCTGCTTGAGCTTCTTTAACATTACAGCAACAGCCACATCACTGACAGTCAGAAAAAATTCTGTCTTGCAAACTTCCACTGAAATACTGGCCTGATCAGCCAACGCTCTCATCAGGCAAAGCAAATCAGAGCTTAAAGAAGTTACTACAAGGTGAAAAATCTATAGGATAAAACCCTGAGTGCCACTGACATTTTCTTTCCTTTGAAACAGTTTGAGATTCTGCTCTGCAATCAACATCTTATGTAAATATGGTGGTAACAAACTTTATTAAACAGCAATCAAGTTAAGAACCTAAAGTCATGGCATTTAAGACTAAAACTTCCTACCACAATCAAATAACAGCATAGCATACCAGATGCTTGTTAATAATTATAGCAGTACAGCGTCCTACATTGCATAAATAATAAATTTGCATTTTCTTCTCTGAAGTCATGGGTGTTAGATTAAAAATCCCACCTATCCCTAATGTGAGAGAAAAAGAAACAAACAGCAAACGTACAATATGGCTGCCTTTCCGGGCTCAAAACCTGGATGTCCATTGGTGAATACAAAGAATTTATTATTTCTCTCTTGTTCTCTCCAGCTTTCTTGTTGCAGGCGTGAATGGAACGTGTCTGCCAATCCGTCCAATACAGAGTGTCCCCAGCCAACGTCAGGGCAAATGGATGAGTGAGACTACCTTCCACGACTTTTTGCCTGGTTTGTAGAAGAAAGAATATTTTCCAAAGTGATTACAAAACTACTTCACAAATTAGTTTGGAAAGACAAGATGTCAAGCTTAAGTCAAAATTAAAACAAAATAACAGTGACTTCCACAAACAGCAACAGTTCAATACGTTGAGTGAGCCTTATTCAAACCTGGCCAAAATGCTTTCTCCTGAATCATTTAAAAAAATCCTGGGGCTGCAAACTGGAACCACAATTACCATAAAATATCTTGCTATGAAAAATTATTTAAATTACTATTTTGTTCTGACTTTTCAAAGTGGAGGTTCATCACACAGGAGTCTGTTCCAACAATTTTAATCTACCATTCACAGTACAAAACACTTTATACTGCTTTCAGGTCAGTTCATAGTGGCAATATTTGTAATGTACATAATTCCATTGAAATTTAATTTATTTAGCAGTAATAACTAAAGGTTTTTCGGGCATAAAAATACCATATTCATATTTTCCATTACCACTCCATAATAATTTTAAACATCTATAATAAGATACAAAAAAGCCACGGAATTATGTTGTGCACAAAACACAAATATGCATTGCACAATGTCCAACCACGAGTCATGAGTGAAGAAGAGGAGAAAAAAAATGAGACAGCTGGAATATTTTATCTTAAATGACAACCATGCACATTAGGAACATTGATTAAAATTCTGAAATTAACTTTGAAATCGCTAGAACAACTTTGTCATAGCAGGGTATACGTATGTTCCAATATGACTTATTTAGATTTCTTGAATCTGGGCTGTAATTTTTCAAAGACAACATTTATGAGAAGTAAAATGAGTTCATAAAGCATTTTGACCAAACATGCTAATTGGATTTTTGTGCTACAAGTACATTTCTTTATAAGAAAAAAAATCCCTTCCTTTCTTTTAAAGATCAAACAATGCTGAAATAGCATTGAGCAACATTTAGGATTTTTTTTGTTTGTTTACAGAGTATATTGTGGAAGAACATGTCTTCCTTTGTTTGGATTAAAGATACATAAAATTAAAGCAAAATTTCAGTAGTAGCACAAGAATATGAAATTAACACAGATTATATAATATACAGTCCAGATTTATCTTGTTATTTTTATATGAGTTACCGATACTATCGCTTGATCGCAGAAAATGTCTTTTTTGATTTGACAATGATATTAAGGATCCCAACAAAACACATTATAGAACTTTAAGAGAATCTAATATAATTCTGCAGATTGATTTTTTTTCAAACACCCTGGAAAAGAAAACAACAAGCAGGTAGTACTTTCTCTCTCTCTCTCTCTGCTTGTATACACACAGCTATGCAAAGTATGTGTGTCTCCATTTTCTCTTGTATGGGAGGTCACAACGGTTGTCATACATACTTCATTCATACGTGCTTTTGAACAGCACAGATAGTTCAACCTCACCATGTGCATGGACGGTGAGCTATCACCATGGGGTGAAAAGGGAGGCACAAGGGGAAAAGGAAACTAGCAGCAAGCCTCAGTAAAGGAGAGATGGAAACATGTAGAATGAAAAAGGAACAAAACATGATCTGCCAGACACTTATCAAAATATTCAAGGGCAATTGGTGATGCAAGGTTGATAACCTTTGTTGTCATAGCTGCCAGAAAATACATTAGCACCAGTTTAAAAAAGAAAACACCTAAGCAATATTAAATGTATTTGCAGAGGGTTACATGCATACACATCTGCACGCACAAACCACCCCTACCTGAAGGAGCCATCCAGATTTGCTCTGTGAATGAAGCTCAGCTTTGCATCAGCCCAATAAAGCTTTTGTTCACTGAGATCTATTGTGAGTCCATTGGGCCAATAAATGTCAGAATCCACGATTATTTTCCGAAAACTGCTGTCCATTCCGGCACGCTCTATTCTAGGTGTTTCACCCCAATCTGTCCAATACATGTATCTAGAAATAATAAAAAAAAATTCAAATACAATTACAATAGCAGAATAGAAACTTTCCTGAAATCAGGTTTATGCATCCGATTCAACAGATATCAAACATTTCTTTAAAAGCAGAACATAACTTTGTGATATTTTTTTTTAAAAAATCCCACCTTTGTTAACTATCTCTAAAAATATAAAGTCTGTTGTTTCCTATGCAGTTCAATTAATACAAGTCTTTTCATTTACTTGCTGAACAAGGACTCTTTATTTCAACTGGTAGAGCCCCTTGGGCTCTATTATGATCTATGAGCAAAAACGTTACAGCTACACATACCTTGTACAACTTTTTAGCTACATTGTTTTCAGCAAATTAAAATAAAAAGTGCCATTTAAAAAAGAATGATTCTACTATTGCATCTGACTAGAAGTAATTTATCAACTTTTGAATTAATGACTTACTCAGGCTTTTGCAATAGTAAAGAGATAAATAAAATGAAGCACAACAATGATAAAAACAGTATATAACAAAATAAATAGATGGTTGAAAACACTGTAACACGTACAGCTAAAGGAGAAATGAAGTAACACAAAGATCCGAAAGGACTAAAAACCAGTTAACCATGCCTTAAAGTCAATGTCATTCTCAAATGGGATGCTAACACCACCCTGTCTTTGTAGTCATGTACTTCATTTCATTGGCAGGGATAAATGGAGAAGTGCTTCAGAAGTTGGCCTTGGTATTTGGAGAAATAGAAATGGAAGGACATGCTCTTTTAAGATAAACTATTTAAGGCATTCGGGGTTTAAAGGTTAACCGAGTACTCTCAGAAGGTTAGAAATGACTGGCAACTAAACCATTTGAGAAAACTGCTGTTATTATATTCCTATTGACTATGAATTTCTGGCTATTAATCAGAAAATCAAGGAAACTGAACGTTAATTAAATTGTTTCTTGGTGTCAAAGAACAGAGAAATAATGAATAACTATAATGACCCATTAGGATATACAGTATGACCAATAGTACTATGTATTATTTATTAGAGCTGTGTAAATAATTCACAAAGTAGCTTTGACTGCAGCAAATTGTGAATGTTTTTCCAGAATTCAGTCATCATTCAGAAAGGCCTTTTCAGATTATCTGTGCATGCACAGAAGACACTTCCACTAGAACTGCTGAGGGAGTCAATAATTTGCATAGGTCTTTTCATTTCTTAAGTTCATGTCACATTTTTTTTCTTCAGGCAGCTAACTATTGGCACTTTTGGGGGGGGTTTGTAAATGCAAAGCTGAACATTAACAAAACTTCATGAGAATATAAAAATAAGATACATAACACAAATATGAAAAAAGCACAGAATGAGAGACAGAAAGGACAGGTATAAAGATTTTAAACATCCATGGCTAATATTTGGTCAGAAAGGTATATGGATATAGATAAAGATATAGATATACAGATTCTCTCACTAACAAATATAATCTACTAGGACAGTGATGGCGAACCTTTTAGAGACCGAGTGCCCAAACTGCAACCCAAAACCCACTTATGCATCGTCGGGTATCGGGTGGGCGTGGCCCATTGGGTGGGTGTGGCCCATTGGGTGGGTGTGGCCCATTGGGTGGGCGTGGCTGTGGTGGTAACAGCAGACTGGGTGGGACTAAAAAGTTCAATCAATCAATTCTAACTTTGCAAGATTTTTTTTTCCCCGCGAGAAGTTGAAATTGACTGATTGATTGAAACTTTCTTTTTTTTTTGCACACAGCGGCGGAGGCATAAAGCGAAAAGGTTTTATAAAACCCAGCTGAAGGCCTAGGACTGGGGCGACGGCGCGCGTGCCCACAGAGAGGGCTCTGCGTGCCACCTTTGGCACTCGTGCCATAGGTTCACCACCACTGTACTAGGAACTGTTTTGTTGATAAAAATGGATACAAAACTTAAATAAAACAATAAAACACAGAGATTTATCAGGGCTCTGTTTTGTTGTTTTTCTTTTAGCCAATACTATTTCCCAAACTTCTGAATCTATTTGGCCCAAACAAAAATGTTTTAATTTTCTAATGTTTTGCAATAATAAATCCATAAAGTGAAAGAAAAAAATAATTAATTTGTTGTGTTAAGAAATACAGAAAACAAATGTACAATATAGTTGATTCCCAAAGATTGTTGAGCAACTTCAAAAATATCTGGCCAGAATGAGGAACTAAACTGACAATGGCAAAGGCCTCTGGCAGCAATGTAATCTCTACCAATCTTTACAGGAAGATTTTGATTCACATAATGTAATGTTAATGGTGGGTATTAACATCTACACATTTGGTTATCATCAATTCTCCAAAGTGGATTTAAACAGAATTTTATGCCATAAAGAATTCCAATCTAGCTCATTGTCTTCAACTTCCATTTCCTCTTCCCATATTATTTTATTACTTCTTCCGGGATTTTTTTCACCTTCCTTTTCAAAGCCAATGCTATCAAGTACAGACGTGTATTACTGAACTAAAGAGAGTTTCCTGAATTTAAACAATGCAGTTATATACGCCACTTTAAATACTGCTAAAGGGTTTCATTGCCAAAACTTAATAAAATTAAGAAGGAATGATGAAACTTGAAATTTGTAACCAATTCTTCAAAAAATATATTCAGAGAGATGGATTCCTTGTTAAGTCTTTAACCCGGTAATGTCCTGACTTTTCTAATATCCCATTTCATATATTTTATTTATCTACATGGTTTTAAAAGAATTGGACAGATTTGTTTTTGGTGTTTTTTACTGTTAGAGTAGCTTTAATATATGTACTTGTAACTATATATAAATTTCTCAATATCAGGGAAGAATGTTATTGCTCTAATGGGTTTATATTTTACTACTCTGCCAATTCAGCATAATTTGTGGTTATTATGCTATGAATAGTTACTTGAAAAGTATCATAATAATGTTTTAAAGATGTATACCTAAATTCCCAACATGAATTTGTTTAATATGATTTGCCTAATCCTACTTCTTTTATACAAATGAAAAAAGAGAGGGGTGTCTTTTGCCATGAACTAAATTAAGAAACAAAGAAATTTGGAGTTTGAAACAAAAATAAGATTTTAAAAGATCAGGAGCAGATTTTTTTACTAGAGATAAAAGAAAGCTGTATTAATTTGCAATCTTTCAAAGAGGGCCTTCAGCACATTTCTTACACTGATGTCAATTATAACAATTGCTCCTAAATATCTAAATACATATATACATACCAATGGAAATTGTATGTATTAGGAGAGCTCAGATTGTTTACTTTTGTAGTTGATGTACTTTAGATTAAGCAGACAAAAGAGGAGCAGGATTAGTATATCTCCTTGCCATAATTCAAGAGCTTTGTCAGATAATGTATCAGGTCATTGTGTGGTTTAATTTCGTTCTGACTTAGTTTACTGCACAAATCCAACCAACATGGTGTTCAAAATGGAATATGTGGCTGATTATTCACTGATTGTGGTTGATTAAATTTACAGTACAATATTAAGAATCCAGACTAAGAGGCAACTTTTTGAGTGGAATATATGGCCATACAAGCTACAGGTTTCCTCAACTCCAATGTCTCTAAGCATAGGTCCAATCATTCCCTATTACCCCATATTTAATAATGTTTTAATTATATATGCCATGTTCAGCTTTATAATTACAGTACTGAAATACAGTATTAACAATTTCCTTGTGCGAACCACTTCTGAAAAACTTTGCCAAGAAAACTGCAGAGTTTTATCCAAGCAGTCTCTGAGAATCAGACACAATTGAACAAAAGGGGAAAAAAACATTCTCAAAGTCCTAACATTATCAGAAATATATAATTTCAAATAAAACTGCCCAGGGCTATTGTTGTATCAAAGAAGGATGACCAAAGAAGTTCCCCCCACCCCAGAAAAGAAGCAGGCAGAACTATTAGTCAAAACTCCTGTACACTACTCAGCCTTGCCATAAGCTACGGTTGCCAATTCCAATTGGGATCAATCCAAAAAAATATGTGTATGTATCGTAACACACTTGTATATGTGTGCAACCTGTACAAACTACATTCCAAAATGGGGCACGTCAAGGACAAAAAATAAACGTAGAGTAATTGAATTAATATCTGTTAATTAAAACCAATTATTTATAAACTAAGTACCTCATTTATTAAATATAATTGATCCTTATCTACATATTGTATACAAAACATGCTCTCTCACACATGTACACAAATTAGTCTCGCACATAAATATCACAGATGTAGGCATAGTCATCTCTGAGGAGGAAGATAAAGATGGGGTAAGTAAAAGGGGTAGCTGTATAAGGAAAAGAAGGAAAAAATGGAAGGAAGGAAGGAAGGAAGGAAGGAAGGAAGGAAGGAAGGAAGGAAGGAAGGAAGGAAGGAAGGAAGGAAGGAAGGAATTCTTTAGGCATTACAAGAGGATTCCAATCATTTTCCCACATAGCAGCTAATCTTCAAACTAATCTACAAGGCCTCCACACTTCACAGCCATATCTGCAGCCATTTGCACCTCAGTTCATTGCTTTGTTTTCATCAGATTCTTATATTCTTTATCAACAACTGTAGTTTCCACTCCCCTCCTATTATCTGGAGAAAAATAGTGTGTGGGGGAAGGGGAAATGGAAAGACAAAAAGCCTACTTCAGCACTGTTTTCATTCTCTTTCAGGCAAGAATTCACCAGAACATGTGAAAACAACCAAAAATCTGCCTAGATTTTAAAAAGAATACTTACTCAACAATTGCTGTGAAGTTGTGGCCAAACAGCCTAAGATGCTACCAGTTTAAAAAAAATGTAGAATAGGACGTTAGATAAACATATTGAAGTATTCATAGTTAAGATCAAATTTTGCCAAGGAAAAAAACAAACTACAATACAAAATAACCTATACAAACTCTGCAGCCACTATAATTCAGGTTTTCCAGGCCAATTGAAAGACAATGAAAACAATATTGAGAGATAATACTAGGAAATGCTGAAGAAACTATACCAAACTTGCCAAAGTAA